TATATGGCAATAATCAGTCTGCTTCCAAACTGATTTTCTTTCCTTAATTAGACCTGTTGTTACCCGTTAGACAGTGATTCCTTAATTAAGGGGGAATCACTTGGGTAATCGATTCTGACTTGTGATTGTTTCCATGTTTGTATCAAGACTTTACTTATTACCTCTCCTTCACTCGTTTTAAAAAAAAAAAACTATAAATACCCTGCACCCCTCTTCTTTCAAAGACACAGATGAACCATCTGAGTCCAGAACACACACTTCACTCAAAACTCTCTCTCTTTTCTATGTCACTACTTGTGATACTGCCTTGTCTAGCCAGCTGAAAGCCAAGGCTAGGCTGTGGAAATTTGCTTACTTTTCTTTTTGCACTTTGCCTCTTACTGGTATGTCCTAGTTAATCTTCAAGCATCAACAACAACATGTTTCTTTAACTGTTTTCTTCACTCTTGCCTGTTTCTGCTTATGTGTATGCAATCAAGTTTCATTACTAAGCATGCTGTAATCTGCTCCCTCCCCTTTCTAAATTAACGTGTTCCCTTATGTATGCACTCTGTCAGTCACTTGATTATGTGACTTGCTGACTTATGAATCCCAAACCCCATATCCTCCTATGTGCTTGTGTTCTCTGGCTGGTTTGTGGGCATGCCGGCATCATCTATTGCTGTGCATGTCCCAAACCTGACCCTTTTTGTGCAATTACTGATTCTGTGTAATTTAAGTTTTACTACTACTGTTTTTAAATCACCCTTACCCCCTTATTATTCTCAACCCAGTTTCAAATAAAATCTCTGTTTCTGCACTTCCTCTTTACTCTTAGAACTTAGGTTCTACCTCTCTTGTGTGAGCCTTGCCTCGGGACCCATGAGCTCCCTCTGAACTCGGACACATAAGGGTTGGCCCTTCCACACTGCACTCATCTCTATCTGGGTATGCAAACCTGGGTAAGCACTGTCCGGGTCCCTTGAGACCCTTAGGGAACTTTGACACACCAAAGTCTGAGAAAGTCTTTGAAACAAGTGGCATTTGAGGTGGTTTGTTCCATAACTCAGAGAGGAAGTCAGAATCAGGCTTCCTATGGTTGTAACTTCTTATTTTACACTTCTTCTGTAATTCAGTATTTTGGTCTGTAATAAGTTGTAACGAATATTGGGGTTGGTTAGTGAAAAGGGATGGGGTAATTGTGCATGTTTTAAGGGTAGATATCCTGCCTTTAGGATCTTATTAGTAAAGTTTTGCATGTTTACTTCCACACTTAGAAATCATGCCTATAGGGTCTAATGGCCATAATTAGACATCATGCCCACAAGTTAATATCAGTTTCTAAACTAGATGTCGTGTCCTCAGGATTAAAATCAGTATTATTTATAAAAGTCATGGCTATCGAAATTTCTCTATGATCAAATAAATCCTGCCTACTCAAGTAGATACCATGCCTATAGGATCTGAAACCAGTTTAGTTAAAATCAGTTTGACTCGTACTATGTTGAATTAGTTTAAACAACTCACTCCTTTCATTAATGCGGTTTAGAAAGCATGCCTATAGGATCCAAATTACTCGTTTAAAACTCTCACTGCTTTGCAATTTTTGAATCAGTAATAGGTATCATGCTTATAGGGTATCATCAATACAGACTTAGGCAAGACTTAGGTAATAACAATAAAATTGAATCCACCTTTGTTTAATTAGCAACTGCTGCAACCAGCAGGCAGGCCTGATTCAGACTTCTTATCTGAGTTATGTAATAAATGGGTCTGCTTCAACATCTGAAATTCCCCTATCTTAGTACTTCTGGCCTTAAATGTGTTTTAAGTCATGCTATTTATGTGCTCTACTTGAGGAGGTATATATGAGCCTTCAGTTGTTTACATGTTCCCCCTAATATGCAGTCCTATGTGTTTTGAATGTCGCCTTAGTCTTTTTACCTTTAAAACCCAAAGTAAAATCCTCCCGCTTATAGGAATAGTAGTCCTAAATTCCTCCGGGACTGATAGGAATAGGACGGGTAATAAAGCATGATTCACGTGCACTATAGAACCACCTAGGTATGCACATGGACTAATATGTACAAGTCCGAAGTTGGACTTTGGCAAATCAAACTTCAGACATATACTTGAAGTTTATAATTTCATACTCGATCTTCAATATTAGTCCCGCAAATTGGACGTTGATTCTAAGTTGTTATAACATAAAATACTTTAGTATTATTATTTTGGGCTATGCTTTAAATGGCGATACTCTAAGCGGCTATTTGTGCAATTGCCCCTTATTACTCCAACTAGTTTCTGGCAACGTACGTTGCACGTGTATTTCATGTCTAAAAGTACATTTTTGTAATTTAAAAATGACGTTAATATTATTGAAACGTGTGCACACGATATCAAACTAAGCTTGAAGGAAAAAATATAAATTGAAAATGATAAATGGTGATCCTATTCAACCGGCTTGGTAGTTGAATGATCACTAGATTTTGTCTAAAAATACTAAGGTGAACAACCATATTTAGTTAAATAGGTAAAATATAAATTACATTAACTTTTTTATTACGAGGCACAAGCGCAATATGATCTTACCTAAATGTGTGTCTTTTTCAATTATATCAAAATTTGTATATTAAAATTTAAAACAACAAATACAATCTAAAGTATTGTTGAGTTTTAAAATAAATTGAAGAATACAACTACAATTTTAACTACATGTACAGTCTAAAACATTAGGAGAAAACAACTACTGACAAAATAAAGGTCATTTTGTCTTTGATCCTATATGCAGGATTCTATTTTGAGTGACAACAACATAATCGAATTCAAGGTATCAAAACATCACATAGGGTAATTTGAAATTTAAACCAGAGTTCGACAAACAAACTTTTGTCCGAGGTAGACGAAGAAGAATGAATCTTCTTTGAAACAGGAGTTGCGATACTGACAAAATGGATGTTGTTGTGCATGTCTTTATGGACTTAGAAGATTTTGAAGTCAAACGGAGTAATAAATAAAAGTCTTTTCATAGATCTTTTAGAAAAGATTGGAGAACCGATGGCTTCCACTGTATAGCTATATCTACGTTGTTCAGAATTCTAAGCATGAACTTTGAGTTGATAAAGTGTGCTTTTACTTCTTGTGTTCGAAGGGTCCTTTTATTTTCTGTATTAGAACATGAACCAGAGTAAGTTCATGACAGTTTCAAAGTAACTTTTAAGATTCCAAAATAAATTTCTAAATGATAGGTTGTATTTAAATGAAGGGCGAATTTGTCATTCAGCTTTTGATGGGTAATTTAGTAATTCAAGTTTGACATTGAAGCTTCATACTTAATACTTATAATATAGTATGATATGATAATCAGAATTTTGAATGACCAAACCCATGAGTCAATTGGTTTTTTGGCTCTTAACAAACTTGTTTTTAGTTTTATAACCCTCTTTTTTTAGGAAGGATACATCGACAACCCCTTAAAGTTGTCATCACTTTTCACTTAGCCACTATATCTTATAAGTTTGTTCCATTTGAATATTTTAACCAAGGCTTTATTGTGTCATTTAGACACAAAACTCGTAGGTAGCCAAACACAAAAGGTGCGTGTAATTCACACGCCAGAGTGACGAATAAAACGAGGACACGTGGATTTAACTTTTAAAAATTAAATTTGAAAATTAAATAAAATATAAAAACAAGAACCCCACCCCACCCATCATCATCTTCCCTAACGGACTAATCCTCAACCATGTTTGCTCGATCTCTGAAATTGTCACCAGCTACCACCTTAAGCAAATTATGTTCCATCAAGATTCTTTCCCATGTCAATCCCAAAAGCTTGCAAAAGCTTAGATTATTTAACCGTCTCAAATGCCAAGAATTTCCTAAAAAAAAAATCCGGCGAACTTGGCATACGGTCATGGAGGTTCCGCCCATTATGAGCCAAATTTTGCCATAAGTGAACCAATTAGTGATCTATTTTTGCTCAGTTCTTTTTTATTAAAGCTATAATATTCCGAGGCCAATCCATATTCGATAGTGGTGGAAGTGGATCATGGTAAATCGAGATCTGATTGTAATTTTTTTTTTAAATTTAAGAATAAATACAGATAGCATTTGAGAAGAATCTTACTTTTTGTTTGATTTAGAAGAACTAAGTTTAATCTAATTTTGTCCATGTGAAATAACATGGCTTTGGGAAAGAAAGCCACACATGCACGCAAAAAACGAGGGATCGGTTGATTGGGAATTCGATAGAAGAAAAAGAAGTAAGCAGAATTCAGTGAGCCCAGATCATGTGGAGAAGAAAATAGAAGTTGGCCGGAAATATTTTCGGCAGAAGCTATACATTTCTGGCACGAAGTATGTGAGTTTATTTTTTGGATGACTCCACGCTCTTGAAAAATGTGAGAAACACTTATTTTGCAAACCTCATTAAAGTGTTCAAATGGAACAACTTAAATAAACCATATAAGTGAAAGGCGAGGACATGAGAGTTTTAGAGCCCGTTTGTGTTAGCTGATTTAGAGTAGCTGATAAGCATTAGGTGCTGAAAAGCACTTTTAAGTGTTGAAGCTGATTTAAAAAATAATCAGTTACGTGTTTGGATAAAAGTGCTGAAATTAATAATAAGAAGTTGAAGAACTGGGTATACGAAGAGTTTTGTTTTAAAAAAAGTATTTTAGGGATAGAATAGTAAATATTTTGATCTAATCTAAAGTGCTTATAAGCTGAAATTTGATAAGTTGGGGGAGACCAACTTATGGCTTTTGGCTTATTTTTGGCTTATAAGCACTTAACTTATAATCACTTTTAATTTTACCAAACGCGTAGATAAGCCAAAAAGTGCATATAAGCCAGTTTGACCAGCTTATAAGCTTAGCCAAACACTCTCTTACTTTTAAGTAAAAGGTCATTTTTTTTAATTAGCAATTTTAAAAGGGACATAATTTACAAATATTCAAATTGTTATAAAAAAAATGAAATAAGGAAATAAAGAAATCAAGAATCAAGAAACAAGAATGCCGCGCGGTTTTCCCCTTACTGTCTCTCTATTACAAAAACCCCACACTCTTCACTAATTCCTCTCACCCATCGGAGAGAAAAATGGGGAAGGGAGAAGAAGAAGAAGCTGAAGAAGAGATCTCTGAAGAGCAGAGAAAGCGGGCCGAAGCCAATCGTCTTGCCGCCTTAGCGAAGCGCAGAACCCGACTCACTGAACCCAATCAAGACTCTTGGAAGCATTTCAAATGCAGAAAGATCTCTCATTTACCCCTCCCCGCCAACTCCACTAATGTTTCTTTCCGTAAGCCTCAAACCCCCTCTCCCCTCAACCCACCTCCCATGCCCTGCATCCCTAGTCCTCCACCACAAAAGTTTCGGGCCAGGCTTGAAATTTGCTCCCCGGACTCATTCTCTGTCACTCCCGCGCCCCTGGAAGGATTTACTTATCCCGGTGAACAACAATGTATGGAAAAACTCAGAGATTGCCTCTCATGTGTAAGAATTTTTTCTCACAATACTATGTTAGTTATAGCCTACATTTATGTCTTCATTGGACTCATAGTTCATGTGAAATCCTATGTTGGGTTGGAAGAATTTCAACTGATAGGATTGGGTTTTGTGTTAGATTTATGTATGCTAAGTTGATTTATCTTTTTCTGTTTATTTGAAATATAGCGTAAGTCTATATTTAATCTTTTTCTAGGCTTAGATGTTCTTTTACTCCTTCAAATAATTGGCGAACAGCTATGCCTCAGTCCCAAACAAGTTGTGGTCGGCTATATGAATCCTCACTTCTCCCTTTACACTCAACTCATGTATCATCATACCACTGAAAGTGAAAAATAATTTAGATATATATAAATACAACAACAACACCCAGTATAATCCCACCAGTGAGGTCTGGGGAGGGTACAGTGTACGCAGACCTTACCCCTACCCTGGGGTAGAGAGACTGTTTCCGATAAACTCTCGGCATCCCTCCCTCCAAGAACTCCCCACTTTGCTCTTGGGGTGACTCGAACTCACAACCTCTTGGTTGGAAGTGGAGGGTGCTCACCACTAGAGCAACCCACTCTTGTCAGTAATAATTGTAATAATAACAATAATATTAGAAGTTTTCTAACAAGACTTGATCATATTCTCCACTAGTAGATATCACCTATATGGACCTTTTTCTTCCATTGTGCCATATTTTTAGCTAAGTATGCATTGATCTAAAGAAGTCTTTCGAGACGACTTCCTTCCATGTAATTTTAGGTCTACCTCCTCTCCTTCTAACACCTTCACTCACTATAGTTTCACACCTATCGACCTATGCATATGTAGGTCGACGTAGGACATGACATCATCATCTCTCATTCGCCTTTGAAAGCATTGTCAAATTTCGGGGTATAGGAGGGAGTTGGCTTGTCTTTAAATCTATGTGTTTCTCTCTCGTTCTTTTAAAGGAACATTCTCTTTAACTCTTAATTGAATCCAAAGCTTCTATGTCGCTTGATGGATTGAGTAATTTTACTGGCAATCTGTTTCCTTTGTTACAAAACTGTGACATTGTCTGAAGCCTTTATCTTTTAGCAGTCCAGGAAATTAATCCAGGAACTCAACCATGTTAGTTTTATTTGATCAGGTGGCACTGTCGCATTGCACTCAAACGACTAGTGGGGGAAAGGCTTGTGTCTATCAAGTTAGAGACTATGAAGCAGTTCTCAAGTCTCTAAAGAACTCTAGAAGCATTGAATGTGAAGAGATCCCTTGGGGAACATTCAATGTAGTCGAGAGACTTTCTCATTCAACCGTTGCAGGTCGATGGATACCTTGTAGGCCGGAGCATCTTCCTGATGAGAAGGTTGATGAGTTGATCGGCAAACTTCCTAAAAGATTGTTGGATACACTTCATCCTTTTCAGCTTGAAGGTGTTCGGTTTGGATTGAGAAGGGGCGGTCGATGTCTCATTGCAGATGAGATGGGACTAGGGAAAACGATCCAGGTAATGTTGCTGAAATAGATAACTGAATATTGCTGTAGCAGACAGGGAATCCTGCTATTACTGTTGATGTATGTCTGAGGTAACTAGCTGTTCAGGAGGATCACTTCTAACATATGTAACTCATTGTAGGATAGATTTTTCTCCATTCAGCTATTAGATGAAAAACTATAGTCTTAAACTAATTTTTTCAAGTTCTGATACTTGATTTGGCTTGATCGTTACTCAGCTAGCTCAAATTTGACAGGAATAAATTTGGTAGAAGTTACGCTAAAATTAAGGAAGAAATATAAATGCTCTTATATTGGAAATTTACAGGAATACTTAAGCATGTTCTTGACTGATACTAAAGATGACAACTTCTGGGCTATGACAAATTCCTCCGTATGGCACTTGGTACCATAGATTGGAGTTGGGTTGCCAAAGCTCTCAGTTTTAAGTTTCTTGTTGTGGTCGTCAATGAAATCAATCTTCTATATTGGTTGTAGACTTTTGTACTTCGGAGGATCTATTGAATTACTTCTACAATTCTATTTCTTTTTTGTATGTGTCTTAATGTGTGTGCGTCTCCTTGCGCATTTTTGCCTTAAACTGATTGTTTTGAATCTAGTATATTCTAAATTCAATACCTTCTTCTGTAGCTTGATATTTCGCAAAATAGTTTCTCCTCTAACATTAACTCACATTTATGTATTCAGGCTATCACCATTGCGAGTTCTTTCATGGATGAAGGTTCTATGCTCATAGTTTGCCCAGCTATTTTGAGATATCCATGGGCTGAAGAACTGGAGCGCTGGCTTCCTTGTTTACCTTCTGATATCCATCTGGGTACTGTTTTCAAAATGCCCATAACTAATAGCCATTCTCTTCCTTTATCTCCCATTTTTCTCTCTATCAAAAGTGATGACTAGGGATAAGTGCATGGAGAAGTTATAGTCATTAACGATATAAAAGTTGTTGTCATGTATTTGTTGATTTACAAATCCTAAAGTAGGATTTTGTGATGTATGATAATTAGAGGGAACATACTAGTGAAGAAGGGATTGATGTAAGTCTATTTAGTGATCCTTAGTTGATAGGACTCAGGTGCATGTGTCCGATATGGGTTACTTCACAATCTAAATATTAAAATTCGGGGATAGGCATCCAAGTACGGATAGGGGTGCAGGGACTCGGCTAAAAATAATTCAAATATCTAACAATAGAATTATAAAAATTATCTATATTATGAGACATTATGTGAAAAACTTACAAGGTAATTCCGAGAAGGAGAAATATCAATCAAGTGGAGAATCCGAGAAGGAGATAAAAGGAAAAGGGTTGACATAAAAAATTGTATATACAAGATATTACATTTTCTTCAATTTCACCCTAGCTTTTGTTTTGATTTCAAAAATCATTGTATCTATCTAGAATTTCTCCGTCGATCTAGATTAAAGTACCCAAAAATTAGTTGACTAGATTCCGTACAGATCCCAAACCCACACTCACACCTACACCCACGTCGTGTCGACACTGGTATGGCATCGAACGTGAAGAGTCCCTGCCCTTTACTGTTTACCACTGTCCTTTATCTCTAGGAGTGAACTAATGGAAGTTTGTTTCAGTTTTGCCACAGGTAGATTTCTTTTCAGTTATCTAACGGGTATATAGCTCTTATAGTATCTTATTCTTGAGTAACTTTTGGATGAGTTGTATGGATTATTTCTTCGAAAAAGGCTGATTTTTGAATGGCAGTGAATGGTTTTAGATACCACCTTTTCTATGGCCTGGATGGCAGGTTTAGTTAGGCAAAATTTTTATCCGTTTAGTTTACCTACTTTACTTTCATTATGAGAATAAGAGTTGTGTTCTCACCCTTATTTGGATAGTTTAACTCTTTCAGTGGTCGTATTGAAGGGCAAGCTTCTGGGGACTATAAATGAAACATCGAACCCTTGATCAGACTCTATGCTGCATGAATAGACCTCTTCTCATTTTTATGTGTACAAAAATTAATCATTTGTTGATCTCAACCTCTTTATGTAATCTATTTCTCCCCCTTGTTTCGATGGATTTCTTTCTGATTAAAAAAATAATTTATTACCCTTGTTCTGTGGGTCTTTTTTATATATTAAGTTCTGCTGGAAAACAGTTTTGTTGTTAACTATATTTGAGTTGAATATAAACAACAAATATATTGCTGAGTTCCTCATTTAGGAATTATTTAACTGTAAATTGATTCATTTAGAGCTAGCATGACTAACTTGGCTGTCCTTCTAGGCTTTTTGCCTTTTCTAGTTTTATGTCTTACATTCCATTTTTATGTATTCATCTTTTTCATCTAGTTTTTGGTCACAAAGACAATCCTGCACGTTTACCTAAATGTCCAAGGGTTGTGGTGATATCATATACGATGCTTCGTCGTTTGAGGAGGAACATATTGGAACAAGAATGGGCCACCTTGGTTGTGGATGAATCACATAATTTGCGTTGCACAAAAAAAGCATGTGAAAATGACGAGGTACCAAGTCCTTTCTGAGAAAAAACAATCTTTAGATAACTAAGATCAAATTATTTTTTAAGTAACTAGTCAAATAAGTGTTTACTTCAATATATTTAGCTCTTTGTCTAACCATTTACTGATTACGATAATACCAATTGATGGTTGAGGTGTAAAAAGTTGGGGTATTGATCCCTAAACATTTGAATAGTGGCATTAGAACCTTTCCACTAAATACTAATTTTTCATGAGTCTCTTGGTTGGTGAAAGGGTGAAATTGTGTTTGATTTAAAAAAAACCAATTAGTCAACATCAAATGGAAAAGACTTAGGAATTAGAAACGAAAAACATGATTGAAGTGGGACGCAAAAGACAAGTCTTTTTGTTAACATGGAAAAAGCTATGACTTTATTACCCATATAGTCTTCCTTTATACTGCATGTGCCTATATTCCTGATTTCCAGTTTAGGTTCTTCTAGATCAAACATAAAACTGAGTTGAAAATCCACTTTGCAGTTTATCAGGGTTGAACACAGGATCATTTGTGTTAGAGTTGCATTGGTGATGCGGAGTCAAAACCTCTAAATAGATTAAAGAGAAAAAAAATTGTTAATTGAATACTTTTCAAAAATGGTGTATGAAGACAGTCAAAGCTCTTCTGTTTTTACTGATGGGTCAAAGATTAATCGGCTGCTTACTCTCCACTCCAAAATTTTGAGGTTGTCATAGATATGGACATTTACACCACAAGCCTCAGGACCGACTTGATGGACCCATAAGCAATGAATAAACCCACTACAAGGCCACAACTTTCGTATACTTGCTGATAAAGAAGTAGATGGAGAGCCCTTGTCAAGTTTGGGGTAGAAGTCTCAGACTTGCCATCTTGGTTCTCTATCAGATACGACATTTGTCAAGAAATAAATTTTTATGGTAGGTTAGAGATGTATATATAGAACGAACTTTTGCGAGGCACAAAACTCTCAATTAAAGAAGGGTGATGCTTTCTCTTCATTAAAGGATCAAGCTGTTTATGAGGCATGATGCATGAATGTGGAACTTCGGGTTTTTAGCGGATGCACTTCCAATTATCAACATTTTTCATTATCAGTGACTGTACATAGTCAATACTTATTTGTTTTATTGCGTAAGAGTTCTCTTTTGTTGTTTGACAGATAACAACTGTTCTTGATGTTGCGACAAAGGCCAAGCATGTAATTCTATTATCTGGGACTCCATCTTTGTCAAGGTTGTAGCATGTATTGACACTTTTGTTGATGCATGATCTTTGAAGTTTAGTTATCCTTTGAGGGCAGTCTTAACTTGCTAATGTATTTTGTTTCTTTTCGATTATGGCAATTCTCTGCATATGTCATTTGCATTCTGATGCCTGTTTCCTGTTTTTCTAAATGCTCGTAGGCCTTATGACATTTTTCATCAGATAAATATCTTATGGTGAGTTACTTGTTTCTCCATTTTCTCTGAGTTCCTTTTACTCTGTTGATTTTCGATGGTCATTAATTCTCTTCTCATACTTTTTCTTGGTTTCACCTAGGCCCGGTTTACTTGGAAAGACTAAATATGACTTTGCAAAGACTTACTGTTCGGTTAGATTTGTTCATGGCTGCCAAGGGAAGGTTTTCCAGGTGACTCTTGTTCCTTCAAATATTGAATGAGAGGTAATTCCCACTAGAAAATGTTCATGGTTTGGTCTTCACAGGATTTCTCAAAGGGGGTTCGCTTGGAGGAGTTAAATGTGTTACTGAAGCAAACTGTAATGGTATGGCCTTGTAGCTCCTTTGTTGCTTCAATTCATTGTATATTTCGTGATGTACTTTGTTTTGTCCTCATCTTCAATCTCTCAGCGACTTGTAAGTACATGATGTCAAACTGCTCATGTCACGCTGCTGTCAGTTGGTTTACTATCCACTATTTCATTTTGACAAACAGAAGATTGTTGTACAGTTGAGTTTGATATCTAATGATGGCACTTTCATTTGGTAAAGCCCTTAATTTGTGATAATATTTATCCAATATGTGAAGTTCAGGTTGTTGCTGATGACAACCAATAAATAAGGATTCTGGATGTAGTTCTACCTTAAATTTCTCATAATATATATCCTCTCCCTCCCAACAACCTGAACTATTGATTTTTTTTCTCCTCAATATGCAATACATTAAATTCTGTAAGAAATGTATGTGATGTTCTCTCTGACACATAGACCTTAAAAATACAAAGAATAATTGAAAAATTTGTGGTTGAGGAATAGCCTTTTGACTCTCAAGACAGTGTGTGGGTCGTCATGTTTGGCACGAAGGGAGTATTATGTATTCATGTACACAAGCTATTTACAGAATGCTTTTTATGGTGAGATAATCAGCATCTACAGTTAGATATGCTGCACTAGTATTTCCTTTTTTCCCTGCTACTTTATTTCCCTCCAGATATTGAAGACTTAGCTCTTATTCTTCATTTATTTATATCATCCAGATACGCCGTTTGAAGGAGCATGTGCTTTTGCAGTTACCACCCTTGCGGCGCCAAATTATAAGTTTGACTTTAAAAAAATCAGATATTTCTCAGGCAGTGGCTACCGTTGACTTGTTGAAAGGCAGAGCTTCTGGGAACTGTGTTGCCAACAAGGCTGAAGGTGTAACCAATGATGACTCATGCGCTAAAGATGTAGAGAAAGCTTTTGAGGATTTAAAGTTTGTTACTGAAGATGTGCAACTGGAAACTCTAAGAGTTGATGGTATGTTATAAATGACCCTAGATTTTCAAACTAGATTCTGTTGGTTGGTGGTATTCCTTGGTCCCTTTCATCCAATTTTCCCAGTAGTTACGCTTTGTGAAAAGAACTAGCAATAGTCAATTTATTGTTTATTAGGCTTAATCTGTACCTTATACATGGATCTGTTAGCTTCTTTAAATGGGGAAGACTGAAGAGAGCACAATTTGTCACCAAATCTAAAATATGGATACATATGGCCTGTTAGACATATCCAAAGAGAATAATAAGCAAAAATAAAATAAAATAAATGTAACTTAAGTCCTGTGGTGAATTTGAACTTTCTGGAGGGCAACTAATGTCAGTGTCAGTTGAACTGATGTGGATTTGCTAAGTGGAGGAAATACAACTGGAAGAATGTTATCGTAGGTAGAAGATGAGACATCATGCACAGTACTATATGGACCTTTTGACGGTAAAGCAACTATGAGGACCTTAGTTTCTCAAAGGATTGCAGCACCTTTTGCAATAGAGGGAAAGGGATGCAGAACTAGGGCTATTTTGACAAGCTTTTGAGTGTGCGTCATGGATAAGACCCTCAGCATGGGATGTCGCAGCCCTAGCTCTTTGTGGTATGGAAGGAGAGAAATAGAAAGGTGTTTGAGGGGGTTGGGAATGATTTTCTATATTTGAGGAATAGCCTCTTCTCTCTAGTTTCCTTTTGGTGCACCCTTGAATTCCCGGTTTGCATTGATGATTAAGTGGCTTTTGTAGAGAATCATGTTTAATTTGGGCTTTCTACTTTTTGGTATATTGCTTGTGTACAGGGATTTCCCCAATATCAATAGAATTATTTACCTTATAAAAAAGGAGCTACTAGTGACGTTTGTATTTGCTAATGGGTTTAATATACTTGCTCCTTTTTTGTCTTTTTGTCAGATGATACTGGCTCTTGCAGATCTTTAAGAGAGCTCTATGACGAAGCGCTTGGCATTGCAAAATTGCCAGGATTCTTCGAGTGGCTCTCCATACATCCAATCATTACAGAGTTGGATGGTGAAGAAAGTTGTCATAAAATGATAATATTTGCTCATCACCATATAGTTCTTGATGGTGTACAGGTGAAATCCCTTGAAATGCATGTTAAAATAGACTTCACATGTCTATTTGCATGGACAAATTACACACTTCTTTTTGCTGTATCAACGAACTCATCAAATTTCTCTTGGTTTGACTTGCTCCCATTATTGTTGTCACTTTTGTAGGAGTTTCTTTGTCAAAAAAATATTGATTATATTCGTGTTGATGCAAATGCATCGTCAAGTGATAGGCAGTTAGCTATTCAATCATTCCAATCAGCAAATGAGGTTCGTATATTCTGCTCCAGATAATTTGGAGTTCATTATTTCTGGTAACTTAGGCAGTCAAAACAAATCGCTTTGCCTGCCTATATGATAATAATCAAAAGCGTAAGCAGCATTTATAATCTCATGGATGTCTATCATTGGATGCAAATCTGTTTCTTTATTTTGTATATTGGTGTTGCTTGCTCTGTGTTTTTGCCATTAATTTGGATAGAGTTGTGCACTTGAAAGGAAGACAGTTTGGCTGACTTGTTTTGTTTTTGATTACCAGGTTAAGATTGCACTTGTTGGAATACTCTCTGGTGGCTCTGGACTTAACTTAACATCAGCGCAACATGTGGTGTTCTTGGAGTTGCCAACAAAACCAGCTCACATGCAACAGGTGAATCTGTTATACCCCAATATCAATATATTGTATCAGTGGAGAAAATTATTTACTTAGAAGTCTAATCTATACTCTTTTTCTTTTGCTCTCATTCGATTCAATGGTTGCATTTGACTATATATGTAACTTTTCTGTAAAGAGGCTAAATTATTTAACACTTGGATTTTGCTCTCCATGTGCATTTTACCTGTTGATTTTTTTGGGTCAAATTGTTACTGAGCCACCTCTACTATTAGGCAGAGGTGTAAGTCGGTAAAACTCTTTCAGTGAAACCCTGTTTTTCATTTATTTCCAATCGTATCCTTATCTCACCTCCCCAAGGAAAGAAGATTAGATAGGTCATCCTATTGAAAAGCGAGATCTCTATTTCTGCCCCGTTGCGCTATGTTTTGCTTTTTCCCAACTTCTCTTTCTTCTCCAGCAGATTTAGAACTGCTTTACGAATTCAAAAATGGTGCACACACATTGGGTGCCTGTCTAGTGAAGGATAAAAGGAGTTGTATATCTGACCAATGCTCTTAACACCTGTTTGAAATGGTGCGATGAAGCTCTGTGGTAACCCTTTGGGGCAGTTGTGTGAATTCTTTTCCGTGTAGTGAATGCTTCATTACATCTTTCCCAGGAATGCTCAACCCAGAAAAGTGCATAAAGCATTACTTTAAGACTATTGGCAATGAGTCAACTGATCCACGATTTTATAATATCCCTTGGAACCTAATACTTCACTTTATCCTGCACACTTCTCTAACTGGTGAGTTGAGAATTAAACAAAATTGTGCGATTGTGTGATGCACCATCACCAATTGAATACTATAGACAATGAACTGGAATCCCACTAAGCATATTGTCTTAACATAGGTTGTTCTCAAGCATGAATGGCATGGCATGCAGGGCTTGTGCACATTAATGAAGCCAGAGCATAAACTTTTATATCATGAAGGTAAACATGATGATCCTAGGGAAGGTAGACCTTAAAATTTTCTCCATAACTGATGTGTACCAATATTAGACACTTTTGTCGACAGTGAATGTTCCTAACATGGATCTCCATGCTCGCGATTTTCCCTTGTTGTTGGTCACATGCTTGAGTTCCAGATTATTCTCCATTATCAACGTCAACATCCAGTGCCCCGTTCTTTTTGCAAGATCTTCTAAAGATTGAAGTATTTAGTTCTTGTCTGATTGGTTGATGCTTATATGCAGTCTAACCATTTGTAGGCCGAATGCAGAGCTCATAGACAAGGGCAAACAAAGGGAGTAAATGTATATATTTTTATTGCAAAGGTGACTTTCTGTTTAATATATATTCTGTGAGATTTTCACCTGGGAAATTCTTTTTGCTAATTTTGCTTAATGCCTTGTAACCAGGATACTTCAGATGAGTCTCGATGGCAAAATCTTAATAAGAGTTTGCGTCAAGTTTCATCTACAATGGATGGGAAGTATGACGCTCTACAGGCAATAGAGGTATTCTTGGAAAAGATAATATCATAGATCACTTTCATGCTCATTCATTTTGTGCATTGCATGGTTGTCCTTAACAATCATAACAAGCCTTGCAAATGCTAAATGCCATGCTCTTGTCTTTACTTAAATTTAAAAGCCTACAATTTAACAGAAGAAAATATTGAATCTAGAAGTTGACTTGAGACGATGTGGGAAAGCTCAATAACAAACACTTGCAGGTGGAGAGTTTTCAACCAAGAGCACAATATGGGGATTTACCAAGAACCCTTTGAATGATCATTTTCTCTTTGCCAAGATACAATCTGTATGTGCCTTATATCAAATAGAAGATAAAGGCAGTAATCATTTAATCATTTCACAAAACTGGTGCACAAAATGCGAGATAATCACGCGTATTGGTGAAAGTGGTAATTTTTTGGTTTTGGTACTTTCTCATTGTTGGGGTTGGCTGAGGGAGGACTTGCTCTCCCTCTATTTTCTTGTAGTCAGACCCATATTCTTAGATCTACTTAGGTAAACAGGGCAACCTGAACATGTAGTTTATTTCTCTAATCAAGTGGAGATTTAGATCTGTAGAGATTGTTTTATCCTCTGAAGGTATTTGTTCATACTCTAGTCCCATAATATAGGTGCCTTTAATGGTGCGTTATTTGGTACTGTTTTATAAAACTCAAAATGTATATGCAACTGACACCTATGCTGTGTAATCCTGACATTATTGTTAGCTGTATTTCTCTTGAAAAGTTACAGTAAGGTCTATTACCTCTAGTTTGGCTTTATTAGCATAATTTTGTCCTTGAACTTTGGTGCAAATGCTTTTGTTGTCTATTGATGGTAAGCTTGGTCTGGCAAATAGGTTGCTGATGTTTCTTACCTTGAGGAAATGGATGTCAGAGAAAAGAAGTGTGAGCATTTAACAACTGAGAATGCAGGGAATGGTGAAGTTGCTCGAGCAAAACCAACAGTAACTGAAAGCCAAGGCATTCATCTAGATTCAGATCCTGTTGAAGCTCATTGTGATACATACCGGGTTGATGATAAACAGGATGGAACTAGTTCATTCTTATCGAAATCAGACCTCCATTATACGGTAGGTATTGCATCGGCCAGGTGCCTATTAATATCTATACTACATTAAAGCCCCAACAATCTACAGAAGCTACCTTTGTCCACTCTGCACCTCATTTTTAACCCACGATCTCACTAGCTTCTCTTTTTTTTTTTTGGCTTGAAAAGATTTTTAAAAGCTTAGCTTAAGATTTAAGTGATATCAAAGAATTAGTCCAAAAAATTGCATGATGTGAAGAGCTTCAATTACATTTTTATGTGACCAATCTAGTGTTTGGTTTACTCGACATGCCTCTTATTTCTGATTTTGCATGATCTGGCCTTCTTTGGCTTGTCTGTATAATGGGAAGCCCACTACTTCCACCTTAGGGCATGAAGGATCTTCTTGTGGGGCTGAAGTTTCGGATGATGACTTTACTTCTTCACATTGTATAGATGTTAATGAAGCCAGAAATGAGGACTTCAATGAGGAGGTATTACCTGGATGGATGGATCTCTCGTTTTATACGAAAATTTTTTCATGCTTTTAATCTTTATTTCTGCACTTTTAATCTTTATTTCTGCACCCACAACTCTACCTCCTTTCTTGGTTTTTGGAGGTTTATGTGGAACCACACTTACTCTGTTACTCATGAATTTGAGAATGTAGGGAAAAGGTGCATCCCCCGAACTTGTAACAAGCAGCTCTGTCCAAGTAGAGTCGCTCCGCTTTGAGGTAAAATCATATAGATTTTATCTAAAATCAGTATCACTTGTTTTCCCCCCAAACCAGCTTAAATGTTGGGAAGGGTTGCAGGGATGAGGTTTTGGCTGTTACGATAGTTACAATGTTTCCAAGTTGATGAATTTACAGATCGGCATAAGCTCATTACCTTCGTAATAAAGTGCTTACTGCTTGATATGAATGGAATTTATGCACTTTTTCTTGTGTAGCAGTCTAGCAGATAGTTATTATCTTGGACTCCTAAACTCTTTATGTTGCTTTGCATTTTTTTAAGATCATTTCTGTTCTTAAAAATGGTAAGAAAAGAATAAGGAATTGGTGTAGACATAGGTGAAGGCTTGTATTTTGAACGCCTTAGTTCTGCTTGGGCCTGGAGGCTTCTTTAGGATATTGCTTTACTATGCATTGTTAATCGGACATAGTGGTAACAAGTAGTTCTTACGCGGCGGCGGGGGGGGGGGGGGGGGGGGTGTACATCTGTAGTTTGCTTTGTTGAAATTGAGTTAGTTTTGATTTTGTTGTGTGCTTGGACTTCTATGGTTTCAGGTCAGCCAATATACAGGAAGGATTCACCTGTACTCTTGTATTCCTGGAATTGATTCCAGGCCAAAACCACTTTTTAAGAATTTCAGGCCAGAGGAAGTTCATCATAAACTGCCTCCTCTAATGGAAGCTGAGAAAACAGCTTATAACAATATCAAGGATGATATGAGTTGTCGGTACGCTCTAGTGGAATTCCTCAAAGAATGGAGCAAGTTGAGTGCTATCGAACGACGGAAATTAATTGGAAAGGCCTTGCAACTTCCATTATCTGTTGAGTTGTCCTATTTAAATGAAAACCTTAACCACGATAATGGGGTATGTTATTTGCTTCTTTCTTTGTCTTTGGGTTTGTTCACCAATCATTGACCTTTCATTAGTGACCTACCTCTGCTTATATCTGTTTTGACTCGTCAGGGTTGGAAGGTTTTGAACTGTGCTTAACATGTAATGGGCTTTTCTTTCAGGGACTGCTGAAAGGTAGAAGTAAGAAGAGGACAACACCTTTGGACGAAATTAGCTATCCGTTACCACCAAATGCTGTCTGGAGGAAGGTCCGTCTTTGTACTGGGAAAGGGAAGCAAGTCTTATACATGCAGGGGTGGTCCGACAAGGACGAACCACTCTGCAAGCTTTGTCAAACTCCTTGCAGGTGAGTTCAAAGTATCATTTTGGAAAACATGAGGAGGACAATTTTTGGGTCACTAATGCTTCATTGACTTTTCGTGTTCAGGAATAGCAATGCCAAAACTCCTGACTACTTTGAGGATCTCTTCTGTAGCTTGAACTGCTGCGAGGAGTATCACCTTAGAACTAATAAATCATCAATTCGTAATGTATGTTTTTACTTGTATTTTTACTAAAACGAGTTTTACCCTTGCAAGAAACCCTTTAATTGATCCCTGATATTTTTAGGCGCTTTTCCAAATTGAGCATGGCATTTGCACAAACTGCCACCTAGACTGCCACAAACTTGTGGAGCGCATCAGACCGTTGTCATTTGAGAGTCGTGAAGAGTATATTGCCAAAGTAGCCCCAAATTTGGCAAAGCGTAAGAAATTGTAAGTTTACAGATTAGAATTACATGGTTTACATGCCAAGGTCTTAGTTTTTTTAATCAAATAGATTGCTTTTCGGTGTGTACATGTATGTAAAATTAATACATGTGTATCGAGGCAGTTGTTGGCTTGAATTAAATTTCTACTAACCATCTCAAGAAAGAGAAATTGACGAGCCAGTATCAGTTTTATGTTTAAGCAAAATGTGTAGCTTGTGCGTAACAAGGAACAATCCATTTTCCAGTGCCTTCTTTTTTAGCTAATTCTTTGTGTTCCTCCTGGTACTAGTTTCATTTTCTTCCCTTTGTCTGTTTAGTCCTTATTCAACCATTTTGTTTTATTTCTTTTTCCTTTCTGATGTTATTTGTATATCGAGTTTTTGGTATAAATTCATCATGGATATCTTCAGCTATTGATAATATACATATCGGTTTTTGTTAGAGGGAAGGATCTATCCTAAGACATTTTGTTCTTCAAGAACATAGAAAATAATGCCAGTCTACTGATCTAGGAACTACATACCTGAATGGTTTACAGTTTCACTTTAATACTACACATTAAACAAAGGGATATCTTATGTGCTTAAATTGCACCCTTCCCCCCAAAACACACACATATAACATATAATTAACTTCAAACCTATATGTTAAACTAAGGGAGCTTTTGGGGAGTTTAACTACTCGAACAGTTCTCATTTGTTTAAACAGTCCCCTGTACATCACAATACCCTTGGTCACACTAGAAATTTTGAAAAAGGGTGGGAGGACTAGGGCAAATACACGAAAGAACTATCTACTCCATTTTGCTGCACTCGATGTATTTGCTGGAATACCAATTAATTCTTGCACTTTGCAGATTTCAAAAGCTTGTTCAGGACCCTATTGATGGCAATGCATGGCATGCGGATCACATAATACCTGTATATCAAGGGGGAGGTAAATGATAAGGCACTTGCAAATTTTTTGTTCAAGGGTCGTCCTCTTGGAGTTCATGATAGATTTACTCAGATAATCTCTGGTTCTTTCTACTCTCTCTTCTCATTTCTATTTTCTTTGGGAGCAAGTTTTCCTTCCTCTTTAACCTTGCCCTCTAGCATCCCCTTTCCACTGTAGTCCACACCCATAGCTTCTTGGTTTTGAAATTCTTGCAGGTGAATGTAGGCTAGAGAACATGAGGACACTGTGTGTTGCTTGTCATGCTGATGTCACTGCTGCTCAACATACAGAGCGGCGTTTGACCAGACTTGTGGCAAAGAAGAAACTCAAAGCTGTCATGAGTAACCTCAAAAGTACTAAGAAACCCAAGCAGAAAGTGGATGAAGCAGAGGTGCGCTTTTAGATTTCACTGGTTAAATCATGTGTAGCTTTATTGACTTATGCTCCATTTGTTATCAGAACTCTCATCTGGTCAGCTAGATTGTCATGTAGGTAAGAATCTGAGGAAATTATATTGGGGGAAACGTACCGATATTTATCCAAATGAGTGGGAAGTATTTGCAAATTAATTAACCTTTAAATCATGTTTGGCCTACTGATGTGACAATCTTATATGCGGCACATGGCTCTGGGTTGTTGGCACAGTATACTGTTACTATCATATAAGTTCTTTTTCTATTTTGCTATTTATTTCAGGGTTCACGGCACTCTGACATTGAAGAGAACAAGGATGAAGATGAACTTCTAGTGAATGTTCCAGGGAGTTCCTATTCTATTAGCACTGAAAGCAAGGAACAAGGAAATTCAGAATTGAAGACTAGCACCAGTGATGATTTAGGTGAGGCGTCATAATGAATGACGTGCTGCCCGCTGCGCAACTTACCTCAGTCATGAAGAGAACCAACTGTAAAATTTTTGGGATGTAATTACCCTTATTCTTCTTGAAGAAATAAGGAAATGTGAGTGGGTTTCTGGATATTTAGGCGATCTAGTATATTATAAGACTTGAAGAAGCAAATGAATTGCACTATCATAACCCTTGTCATACCGGTTCTTGATCGAGATACCTGTATCTATGAATTTGATCTTATATTGGGGTTGTTTGCGCTTAATAATGTGCCTTTCGACCTTTCACTGCATAATTAGTCCAGCTATCAAACGCAGGTTGCCATGGTAATCATGCTCCCCAGATCTCCAGTTTGTTACTCCCATGCTTCATCCAAGACTAATGTCCATAATTATACCGTGAACAAGTTCCTTCAATCCAAGGGTACAGTAATTGGAAGATGGAGAGACTATCCTCCCAGAAGACATGAAAACTACAGTTAAGGGTTGGTTGATCATACACTACATGGCAACATATACAAAGCTGTTTTGTTTACACTCCAAGAACTCAGTATACAATAACCTTTATCATAGATAGGAAGTTCTGGTTGTAACCAGACACTCGAGAAATGCTTTCCTTGAGAGAAAAAGAGGGAGGGGCATTAGGATCTTAGTAGCGCAGTAATATATTACTTTAAGATCACTACTAAAACCAAGCAACAGCTGCTGCATCTATCTTACTAGTAGTTACTAGTGCCTAAAGGACATCCTCATTTTTTGTTCTAAGTGGGTGTCAGCAGAGCAAGTGAAGACTTTTCAACTGCCACAGAAGTATTATAAGTATTGAATGGCTAAATCTTTCTTGAGCAGTTCCGAAGTGATAACTAGTATATCACTGTAAAGAAGATTAGTGTCATATACCGTGCTTATTTGGCATTAAGCACTCAAAAGAATGGATATACTCAAAAGAAGATTAGTGTCATATACCGTGCTTATTTGGCATTAAGCACTCAAAAATGGATATACTATACAGTAAGTAAATTCATAACTCTCCATTCTCATTGCAGATAACTGCAGCAAAAAACTGCTCTGCTTTATCAAGTACATCAGTAGATAATCTAGAGTGCAACATCCATGCGGCAGTACTCTCAGGCACAGATGAATTGCTCTTCAGACCCTTGCCTTCACAAGGTTTCAACACTTTATTGTCTCTTAAGCTTCGGATTCTGCCAGTTCTAGTAGTTGGCAATGGACCACCTCTCTGGGAAAGGGCCCTAGCATTGCGTTGATTGTTGCGATTTGATCTCAGTGGGACGTCAACTTGAAGGCTTTTAGGTTCAGGAACCAGCTGAGCAGATGCACCAGCCTCATCTAGTGATGGATTATTAGGTACTGTAAAAGAATCAGGTGATGGAAGATTACTTCTACAAGCTTTCAGCAAAGCAAGGAGCATATCTGTGCTGAGTTCTTGCTGAATGACATCCTTATTCTGTTCACAACCAAAGCAGGAAGCAACCATGGTCCCCGCCAAGACTGGCATTAACTCAGGATCGCTAAAGAACACAAAAGGCAGGTCGCATACCTGTGCCACACAATCCACAATTAAATATATGTTTTAGGTGAAGTCTTAAGTTGCACAGAAGATTCACGTACCTTGTGAAGAATTGTAGGGCTCTTTCCCCATCGAAGAACAGCTTGGTTGTCATGATGGAACAATGAAAAATAACTAAGAAGCGACAATGATTCCAGCAGCAGCAAACCAATCTGAGACACAGAATGCCCAAATAGAAAAGACTATATTAATCAGTCCTGTACTTTGACAACAAGCAAATAAATGTGAAAACAGTGACTCCCAACAAAACTTTAAAAAACCATTAACCGTTAATGCTGCTCTATAACAGGAAACTACAATTAACTGTTATTATTTCGATGGTTTCTGTTGATGGTACTGATATATTGTCTTTTTCATTTTCTTGAGCCGAGGGTCTATCGGAAACAACCTCTCTACTCCATCGGGGTAAGGGTAAGGTCTGCGTACACACTACCCTCCCCAGACCCCTTACCTGTGGGATTTTACTGGGTTGTTGTTATTGCTGCTGCTCTCTAACAGGAAACTACAATTTTTCCTAATAAAATGCTGTATCCAAGGAACATTCTCATTCATTTCTGGAATCCAGAAAAAGTCAAACAAGACTGAGATACCTTAACATCACAAGGGATAAGTTCATAACTTATTTGAACAAGGGCCAGGTGGTAATTACAGAGAACTACAACAGGGAGCCATCCAATCACCAAGATCCGTTTTGCTATTGACCTTGTATGTTTAAGATCTTTTATGTTTTATGCGAGGGTAAATATCTTTTTTTTATAAGTTAAATGATATTATTAGCAATGGGAAAGCTCTCGGATACAACAGGTATACAAAAAAGGTAGAGAATCTACAACGCGAGGGTAAATATCTGCCGAGCTATTTTTCATAAGGTTTCTGCCTCAAGATCTATCTTAATCGGAGAAGTTCACAGGGCTGTTTGATTGCTGACTTGCTGTTTTGACATTTACATGTCAGAAAAGTTACAGAAGGTTCCAGACAAACCAAGTCTATCCAATGTCTAACCCATGGTTGAAGAATGAGGCGATCAAGAAAGTCCTCCCCTGGAAAAAAATATCTTAAGATCCTTTCCTTCCTTTTCATTACGAACAAAGCAAAGGCGCTACTTTTAGCCCTTTCAAGAATATGAAGGCCCACGTGACACTCGGCGTTAACACTCCCAAATCTGGAAATCCTTCTTTCCAAAACCATATTTGATGATATAAACGCGAAGTTTATACAATGTTGAGCATCAATGTAGACCTTCACAGAGTAAAAGCCTCACGCTGTGTCTTCTCATTACTAGATGGTTGCAATTCATATCTAGGAATTGCGAATTTAATTATATAATTTATACTCCTTTATCAAAGAAATATTATTTATACAAGAAAATTCGGTGTTTCTAAGAAACGTATGACAACCATCAAGTAATACACTGACAATCTTTCCTATCGTCCGTCAGCTTAAATGGTAAGCAAACGTGAGTTAGGATTTCTTTCCAAATGAAAATGGACAATCTCTCTTGCACTTTCCTACCCTCCAACCAAAAGACACGGTGGCTTTCCAAGACTAGCATAAACAGCACCTTTCTAAGTCCAATAAACTTGTGAGGTGTACAATTTGAAGGCCAAAACATGAAAGCAAAAGCATCAGAAAGAAACCTGGTCAGTTGCTCCGCCCCACTTGCTCGTGCAATGAGAGAGAAGAAAACTCATCAAGTGAAAGAATTCCATCTTCAGATCTGGTCGGGCCTGTGATCCAGAAAAGAGAATAAAGAGTCACTTTATTAACATCTAAAACTTTTAGAAAGGGAAAGTTGATGCAAAAATTCCAAATTGACTTACGAGCATCTTCTGGACAAAAGATATGTCTATTAATGCTAAATTGTTCAACACTTTTAGTACACCAGTTGCCACATCTTCAAAATTGGATGGAAGGACAAATGATGCCTGCAAAGAAAGGTTTCAGTAAGATTAAGTGGTAGACACAGAGATAAGCAGACTATGAACGCAAGTAAACTCAAGGTTAGGTTTCATCTCCCTTTAACATAGGAACAGTTTCAAACAATTACTTCCCGTACTAGAAGGATTCAATGTTACATGCATATGGTAGAGAAGTTTACTAAAGAAGACAACAAAGTAGCAAACAAATATGAGGTTCGACTACATCCTAATGCTTACAGAGAAAGCCCAGTTAGATTCATGGACTACAAAATTGCACAAAATCAGCCGTGCATAAAACCTCAAAGCTGGATTTTACAAACAAATTCAATGAAATTCACGAAGTTCACCTGTTCAGAACATCTATTGTTAGCCTGCAATAATACAGCTGTCAACATTGATGGAAGACAGACTAAGCCAGTCTCAGATATGGCAGAAAGAAGAAACTTTACAGCCTGCTTCAACACCGATGCATTTCCACTGATATGACCTTTACTATTATCTTGAGATTTCTTCTCGGCCATTTGAAGGGTATCATATGTCACGATGGTTGTAGATTCCTGCAATACATCTGCAGTTTCCGTATTAGCAGCAAGTAAGTCAACTTTGTCAGAGTTCTGATCAATTACAACTGAGCCCTCATTTTCTTTTATTTTAGAAAATTCATCCAGGGGCCTATCCTCTGGTACATCCGGCAAAGACGAAGCTACACCTCCATTTACTGCGGGAAATACCAATTTACCATCATTCTGGGAATTGCATAAAGGAGAAGAAGACTTCAAGTCTGCAGCTTCAGCAAGTTCGATGTCGCTGTTTTCATTAATTCGAGTTGATACAGTAGGAAAGTTTTTACATGTTATTGAAGACACATTTCTGAATCTTGATGTAAGAACTGCCAACAGATTTACGCCAAGGAGGATTGATGAAGGGAAAGGTGAACCTTCTACAGGTGGTCTATCATAAAGTGCAAAAAGATCCCGTAACCGGTGAATAACTTGGTAAGCAATTACAAGCTCAATCAAACCATCTTGCAGTTGAAGGGCACGCTCATCCGAACTTGCATGACCAATGATTGCTGCAGCAGTCCAAAGGAAACCATCCAGAATTTCAGAGATTAACTCCAACCTGTCAGTTGATGTCTTACAGGTAACCAGGTTGGCAGAAGCAGAGCCATTTGATGAGGCTGCAATTTTGATGTAGTTTTCAAGAGCTGCCGCCAACATGGGGATTATAGGGGGCAGTAGATTCTGAGCAAGAAAATAACCCTTGTTTGCAGCAGCTGAAAGTACAACCTTCAGAAGCCTTAGAAGGTACAATGTCACGTGGCAGCTTTCTGGCTTTGATGTGTGAGATGCGGGAAGTGCAGAAGCAATAAAATCAACCAGACCAGCTTGACGAGAAGCCTGCAGCTCAGCATCCCTTCCCTCCAAATACTAGTTACAAAAAAAATGCCAGAATCAATAAGTTACTATTATTTCATGAAACAAGTTGACCTATTAAAGCCACAATATTTTCAAAAACTGATTCTAGCCAACGTTGTTTTATGTTGCAGTTATTCATGGCAGGATAAACAACTCCTTTATCTTAATACCACTACATTGTCATTGAGAATTAGAAGGCAAGTGAAACAAACTTCACATAGAAGAGTAATATATCACCTTAATTATTTCAGCTGTTATTAGTCCAAAGCTTGCAGCCCCTTCTTTTCTTGCTTGACGTAGTCTTTGAAGTTCTTGGAGCCACTTCGCAATCTTCGCCCTCGCATTTGCCACTGCAGTTCTATACACAAAACCTGCATTTTCAGTACCGCCAATTGAAGGCTCAGGAAAATCATATTTCAATGCCATAAGTCGTTGGCGAATTCTTTTAATCCTTCGTTTTAATGAATGTTGGGTAGCCATGTGGCCAGTAGCAAGCGTAGAGCCTTCAGGAGCAACACCACTATTTTCGTTATTATCTTCACAGTTACTGATTGGCGTAGATCTACCTTGCCCCTCCTTAGCCACGGAACGACGGAATAATGGCGAAGACTGATCTCTGAAGTCCATTGAAGCTCTTTCCCGTATTTGCTCCAGATAAATTTTACGACGCTGTTCACTTTCTCTGAGTCTTTCAGCTAACTTCTGGGCCAGGAGTTCAGCTTCCTCCTGTTGAGCTTTGGCTCGAAACTCCTTTCTCCGCATCTGTTCCATAGCCTTTGCTTCGCGTGCAGCACTTGATGCTTTACGCTCCTCTTCCCTTCTTACCTGTGCCTCTTCCTTTTTCCTCTGTGTCTCTGCAAGGCGCTGCAACTTTTCTGCTTCAATTAGTTTCTTGCGTTCCAAAACAGCTTCTTCCCTTGCCATATCTTCTTTCTGTTTAGTTTTTAGCACTTGAAGCTTCTCAGCCCTCCTCAACTCAGAATCATGCAGTTTCTGCCGCAAGATGAGCTTTTTGTTCCCTTCATTGAGTGAAGTAATGAATCGAACTTCATTTACTTTTATGCTTTCATCGCCCGCCCTTCTCACAACTTCAGCTAGGTAAGCTTCATGTCGGGATTCACTGCGCTGGTGCCGAGCATGCATCACCTCTCGCAATTTCATACTACGCACGGATTGCCATTCATTTACACGGTTCAGCTTCTCAGATGTTCGTTGAAGCTTTTGAACTCTCTCATTTTCAAGCTCACTTCTAATTCTCATTGCACGTGCATGCTTTTCTTCCGCTTCTTTTTTTAAGTCAATAGCTGACTTCTTCTTTTTCTCAGGAGACATGAGTTTGTCGTGCAAAATGCGTGCACGCTCTGCACTTTTCCTACTCATGCCAGGTGAATGCGAGAAACGAGATGAAGCTCGGTATGGAGTGGAGAGTACATCTTCCCAGCTTCTCTTCTCCTTCCAAGCATCCATGGATCTCCAGGAGCTTCCATTTCGCTTTTCCTTGTCTCTTTCAGAATGCCTCTTCAAGTGATCTATTGGCTTAAGATTTTTCTCATTGTCTCTCTTGTTCTTTCCACCGACAGATGAGGAAACCCCCTCCTTAGGAGGTAATCTAGATGCATGAGAAGCAGACTTTCCCGAATCAACGTGCCTCTTCTCTCTACTCAAATTACCCAGAGAAGAATTAGATGCATTACTCTGCTTCCTACTTTTCTCTAATGATTCACTTGAACTGCTTTTTTTGTCACCTTTCTCATTATATGTCTCCGCAACACTAGAACTTCCACAATGATGATCATAACAATTAGATGCCATTTTCTCCATCCCTGTAGCTGACAAACTAGCTCTTTCATGTTGAATTTTTCGAAAAGCCTCAAGAGATGAAGCCAGTATTTCTGCCCTGTGTGGTGAAGTTGTCATCCGGCGGACCTGCACTTAGAGGAAAGATCATACCATTTTAACAGTTTGTCACAAGGAAAAAGGAGTAGATAATCAATTTATCCATGTATATCTGTATGTATAATAAACATTGATAACGAGGGTGGGCGTCAGGTAGTTCGGTTTGGATTATGAAAACTTTGGTTTGAATTTTCGGTTTTCAAATTTAAGATATTACAATCCAAAACTAAAGACTGGTTAGGTTTTCTAGAGTTCAATTTCGGGATCAATAGGCTTGGTTATTTCGGATTTTTGGTTTAGGCCTATAAGTTTGGCTGCTTCTAACGAAAAAAGTGAAGTCTAGAAAAAGTATCCATAACTCCCCCTAGGGCTTAGTTAAAGTGGCAGATGTAGAGGGACTTGCGACTTGGGTCATAGATTCGAGCCCAGCACCATACGAACTAAGCCTAGTATTTACGAAAAAAGTAACTCCCCTTAGGGCTTAGTTCAAGTGGCAGAGGTTGAGGGACTTGCGACTTGGGTCACAGGTTCGAGCCCAACACCATACGAACTAAGACTAGCATTTAAGTGGAGAAGATTAGGGAGGCGGGCCCATTATCCTTAAGGTTTTAAAGGCTGCGGTTGTTCCTAATTGGTTGGCCTCAGACGAATTTTGGTCATTAAAAAAACCCCTTTTTTTTGTCAATAGAATTTGAACATAGAATTAGATCGAACTGGACCAAATCGCGTGATTTTTTTAATGAAACAAAAACCTTGTAAATCGAACCGAATTAACCTAAAACGGATAAAACTGACCGAATGTACACCCCAATTCGATCTCCATTGCTAGTGGTAGGTTACATTAAAGACAGTGGCACCTGCAGCTTACGAATTCTAGATCCGCCTTCAGTGTACAAAATAATTCTTCCCCCCCCCCCCCCCACCCCACACACACACGCAAATAAGGTGCCAAAGAGGGCGATGTTGTCATGATTGTTCATCCAATTACTATCGAATAGGTAAAAATAAATGAAAAGAAAGTTCAAGAATCCCAGTGTTGTTGCCTGCTGGGGGAAGCGTATTTCAAAAGACAATATATCCCTCCGTTTAACGAGCTGAAGGACTTCCCTGGCCCAAACTGTGGGCGCTGCCAGTACCAAAAAACCAGGTAAAAGACATGCAAAACCATTTCTTTAGCATAGATGGAATATAATAATGACTGGCCAGCAGATATTCTTGGTATGCATGCATTCAAAACTGCAGTTTTTCAACTTCCAAATGGCTGAGATTGATTTGTTTATGTGTTGTGTAATTTTTTACAGTTACCAATTTAAAACATTGAAAAATGAGAGCTAGAGTACTCACCTCCCATGAGAGAGCATGTGGTCTGCGATGGTTAGACTTCATGGTCAGAGGTGTTCCATCAGTCGCATGAGAACTGGATTTTTTCAGTCTCTCAAATTCCGCCACTCTTGAACTCAGTTCTTTAAAATCAGATGCAGCTTCTTCAAGAACAAGAATAGACTCTTGTGTTTGCTCCAGGTCACATTCCAGTTCACAGAGTAGGTAGAGTTCATCTACTGCTCGATTAAGATTCTCAAAGAGAAAGCACCAGAGGCGTTGCCTGAACCTTTCTTTACTTTCACCAATGCCTTCTGCATCAATAGTGCTCAAGTTAGAGTTTGATAAATCCTCAATGATTGAATCAACTCGTTTGCTCCTAAACTCTTCACTAGGAGATGCCAGGTAAGGCTGCCCAATGTTTCCCGATCCTCCTTTATCAGGTGGCACTGGCTCAGAATCCTCTGAAGCGACCACTGTTTTTATATTCTGATGAACACTAGGCACTTCAGAGATTTCCGTGCAAGCTTCTTCAGATTCGACACTGTGCACAGTTACCCCACTAGGCCCTTCTCTGGCAGCAGTGTTAAGCTTTTCGCCAGGACTGTTGCAAGTGTCACCTTTTTCAAGCTGGGTATGTCCACATTGCCCTCCAGAAAGAGGAGAAGCAGCAGAAGCATTAACATCTTCTGAAGATAAATCCTTCAACTTCACACAATTTTTATCAACAGCTTCACTCTTGGGAGACAAAGGATTCGAGCTGACAACTTGATGGCTTTCCTCAGTAACCAATCTATTTTTCTCTAGATCAGTTGGAGAAGTGTGTACAAACGGATCACTTGTTTGATCAGCTTTTGTACTAAGCAGATCATGATTTTGGATGTCACCGAACTTAATTTCTGCTTGGACAGTAGTTCCAAAATGAGATGTTAGAGCTCGATCATCCAAGTCACCCCACTTGATTTTTGATATGATGTCATGGTTAATTATTTGAGGATGTTCCTGACTGACTCCTTGATTGGAATCTGTTGGGAAACCTAAACTAACAGAATTACTACTGTGACTGACCACACATTTATCGTGCACAATCACTGCATCTTCCTTCTTAATTGAAGTAACATCATCATGTCTAATGCAACGTCCACTTCCTTTTGAATGCTGAACGACAGATTTAAGATTTTCACTTTTTACACCCAATGAAGGCTGATTTTCTGGATTGCAAGAAGCAGTTCCTTGAGATGATCCTCCAACCCAACCATGTAGTGAAAACTTTGAACTGTGTCTGTGCTTCTGCACAAGAAGTCCACACATTGAATAACAAATATACAGATTTTAATTGGGCAAAATGCGAGGCACTCTACATTATTGTTGATGAGAAAAGTGCAGTTTAATCTTGATACATATAGCATCTGCTAATGACAAGAAACAGAGCATACAAGAAATAAGGCATTCAAAATTCAAATCCGAAGAAAGATTGATTTATTGGTGAATCTCCTAAACACAGAATTGCCAGAACTGTACTTACATGTTTTGCTCTCTTATTACTGTTTCCTTTCTTCTTCTTTTTGCATATTTTGCAGACATGTATCGCTATTAGCCACACATTCTACTCCATTCAAACCACTTAAGCTGCAGTGAAGGAGTAATTTTCTTATACTCTAATAAGCTATAAGGCATAAGGATGATAAAGCAAGACGCCGTCCATCGCATTCAGTGTTCTTTTAAACAATGTTTTTTGAATAACAATTCAGCAATAAACACTTAATATTGTGAATCTTAGATGCCCCTGGTCTTCCATTATCTGCCTTTCACCCCTGAATAGTGGAACCCACCCCATGCAGTGAAAAGAGGTGAAGGGATAGAGGGACATCTCAGTTTTTGCGATGAGATAAATCCAGCACTTAAGAAGCATGTACACACCACTATGGTCGCTAAACGTACAAATGGGATTATCAGAAAGAGAAAGTGGAAGATTATAGATGAAGCACGCGATAGAAAAATACAAATGTAAGAGTATTTCATTCAATAAATTTCCGTTTCAGCTTCAGCAATACGATAAAGAGAACCTATTCAGCTGCCCTTCATTTCTCTATAGGGCTTTTCTTTGGTACCGATTACAAGAAAGAAAATATAGAACTGGCCCAATTAAATCACCATCTCTTCACTAAATGCCGTTGAATATGCCCAATTCTAGTTTAATCCACCAATCCATTTTTCAGAAACATATTGAAAATGATTAGTTCTTTCTCAAATAACTAAAATTCAACTAATTCATCTACATGAATTCAGGAAAAGTTCAATCCTTTGATACTTTTCTATTAAAAGAATACCTAAAACAACAGATTATCAGGAGGTACATTCTTGACATTAGGCCAATGACACAACTCAAACATGGTTATTAATGATTTGCATTCTAATAGTAAACCCATTTTCATTCATCATCTTTCAGCTTAAACATAACATTAAAAGCTGACTTAATTAATATTGAGAGATGGATGTGTGAAAAGTTCAGACCTTTTTAACTTGCATCCAACCAGAGCCTTCTTGATCATCCCCTCCTTCACTGCTCTCCATTAAACAACAATAGATTCCCAACCCCAAAATAAAATACCTTTACATTAATCACTAATTTGCAATAGTAGCAGGAAAATATAAAAAGTAACAATTTTTCTCACAACAAATAAATAATGTGATCCTTCTGAACAAAAAATAACGCCTTTCCTAATCTTATTAAGAAATACAAGCTCTGAATATGTTTAAATTTTCAAAAATAGAAAAGGGATGCAGAACATCGATCGAAATATGATTTTGAGGAAAATGGGTATCCAAATTCGATAAATGGGACTGAAATTTGAGTAATAAAGGAAGAGTATTGATGAAAAGAAACAACCAGGAATGAACTTTGTCGGAAACTTCAAAAAGCTGAACTTTTAATCGGTGTTTTTCTTCCTTTAATTTTTTTTTTCTTTCAATTTTCTAGGGTTTTGGGAGAGTGATGACCTCCATTGAAGAACCTAGCTGCATAAGAGAATGTGCTGAGAATAGTGAAATTAATTTTTTATTCCATGGGGCATTGATTTTCTGTGAGGAAGAAGATGGTGTCTTCGTGACTTTATTTTCTTACTAATATAACCTCAAATTTTGTCCATATTGACATTGAGGTCCTTTATGTATTTTTTTCTTTAACAAAAGTATTCCGTATCTCCATAATGATTGACTTTAAGCCAATCACAAGGGTTCCACTTGTTCCTGGGTGGGGCCCTTTTTAGAATTGCTGAAATTCTGGCCCCTATGGTCTAGGGTTCGAGGCCGGTGGAGAGAATGAGCGAGGTGTTATGTTAGTTTCTTTTCTTTTTTTTTTGTGTATTTTATGTTTGGTTTATTTTGGGAGAAATTCAAAAATCGCCAGATTTACAACTGGTCGTTCAAAAATAGCCCAATTTCAAAAGTAATCGAAATTTAGCCACTTTTTATGTAAAGATAAATCTGAGCGAAAACACTGTTTAAAACCCGGAATATACTCCAGTATATTATGCTGGAGTTCCAGCATAAGTATACTTGAACTCCAGCATATTATACTGGAGTTCCAGGATAAGTATGCTGGAACTCCAGTATATTCTTTATTACATTTATTGTCATTGTCTACATTTATTGCATGTTCTTATTAAAATACTCATTGATAAACGTTGAACACGTGCCTGTTCTTGTTATTCTTAAAAGTGATCTGACTCCACGGATGAGTCCAAGCTCTTTATCTAGATCTGATTATATTTAACTAGGATTCATACTCTCTCGTCATTAATTAGTTTAGCAAAGAGTTTAGTACTTTTTGGTGAAATACTTGGGTTCCCTTCCTTTCCATATCTAGCCTATGCTTCAATTGAAATTTTGGTTTTCAAGGATCAAATTTTAATCTGAATAGCTAGCATTGAATGCGAGAATTTAAAAACTATCTCATACTAATAATTTAACAATATAATAAATTGCTTCCTCAGGGTAATTTAATAAAAACACATTCTAATATTTGATTTCAAGTGTATCTTAATCAAAAAAAGTATCAAAAACTAAAATAAGATCGATATTAAGAGACATAAAATCAGCTCGCGATTATCACAAGATGACAAAATGAAGAAAGTAAATACTTTGAGGGGTTTTTATATACAAAGTAAAATTCAGGTACATCTTGATTTTAGTTATATGAAGATCTTGAAATATAGTCTCATGGTGAATACGAAAATTAAATGTGAAAGTTTCCCGGTGTGGCCATTAGGGCTGCTTATCGGGCGGATTTGGCGGTTATTTACTCTTAACGATTTGGTTTATCCGTTATCGGCTTTTAAATGTATTAATCCGCTAGCCACCTGATAAGATATCGGGCGGATTGGTATCGGTTTAGCTCGTATCTGACGGTTATCGAGCGGTTTATCGGCCTAATTCAATCAAAATAAAATAAAATTTAGTCTCTGTATGTTTAAATAGGTGGTCGACGTACTAAGGGGACGAAGCATAAGAGACACCGTGATGGGTAAATCATCTGTCTAGAATCTTATTTATGTTTATGCACATTGGCCTTAGTCCATGTGAAAGATTTCCAATTGGCCGTTGTTAAAACAAATGTTCGTCATGCTTTGAATTCTAGAATGCTTTAAAACCCAGGCAAAGTTGATGAAGCAGTGGTGTAACTGGTGTTGTTATCTTGTTTCAGACAGCAAATTCTGCCTTTTGTCACAGTTAGATGACTCCTTTTATTTGGCTTTCTTTTATTCTAATTCACTTTGATAGAGTACGGGAGGAAGAAGAGTTTTTGATTATTTAATATATACATGGATAAAAATAAAGTTTTTATATATATATATTGTATGTGTCAGAATCCGACCCCACAATAATTAACGAGGCTAATCCCGTTTTAAGTTAATTCATGATTAATTAGTGGTACGACCACTCAGAACTGACGATGTTCAACCCGCATCCGGCTAGATCAATAGGGCCATGGCCTGTCCGCCACCATAAAGGCGAGATCCCAACGTGGTCACGGCCACTTATTGCCAGCTCACGAAGCTCACAACTATAAATACTAAGAGTAGAAGCCCTAGAAAGGAGAGTTGCTTCTTCACCACTATAGACAGGAGAGAAAAGGGAAAAATATACCCATCTTATGGGAGGAGAAAACATCATGGTAAGGCTCTGAACCTCTTCATGGAGAGGCAGACCAAACAAATATTATCAATAAAGGTCTCGAAGGTTTCTCCCCCTAATTCTGAGTACTTATTTTCGTTTCTTTCATTTGGTCCAACGGATTATTACGATTTGCTATGATTTTCCCGAGATTATTTGTATTGTTTTGCACTCATAAGATATGTAATAACTTTTGAGCAAACAATTTGGCGCCGTCTATGGGGATTTCATAGCAAAATCGCGTAGTTCTTCCATGGACCAAAGGAAAGAAACGCCGGTTGGAAGAACACCAGCAAAACAAGCCAAAGCGGCATATCAGG